ATGATGATGATGATGATGATGATGATGATGATGATGATGATGATGATGATGATGATGATGATGATGATGATGATGATGATGATGATTATTCTGATGATGACGATTATGACGATTATGACGATGATGCTGATAATGCTGATGTCGGTGATGATGATGATGCTGAGGAGGAGGAGGAGGAGGAGGAGGAGGAGGAGGAGGAGGAGGAGGAGGAGGAGGAGGGGGAGGAGGACGACGAATAGGATTTTGCAGATTGGCGTATATTGGGGCCGTTTCTGTTCCTCTTGGGGCCCCTTGGGGGCCTCTTGGTGGCTTCCTGAGGGCCTCTTTGGACAAGAGGGCCTCTTGGCGGCCTCTGGCTTCTTTTGACCTCTTGGGATCTATTGGGGCCGCTTGGGGGATTTCTGGCCTGTCTTAGGGCGCACTCGGCAAGTCTGACGCCTTCGGAGGCTGTCTGGAGGGCTCTCTGGACTGTCTACAGGCGCTCTGGAGCCGTCTTGGAGGTCTCTCGGGCGGCTTTGGGCCCCCTGGGGGCGTTTTGGGGGGATCTTGGGCGCTCTCAGGGCCGTCTTGGGGCCCTCTTTGGCTGGGGCTCGGGCTCTCTGGGGCCATTTTGAGGCTATCTTCCGGCCTCAGAGGCCAATCGGAAGCGGACAATCGAGATTGCACAAGACATCTATTTCCCAATGGTTTTGGGAGGAGTTTTGCCTTTCGGATGTCTCCCTGGGAAGCTCCGTGCCAACTTGGAGCTGCTTCGGGCGGTCTTGGGGCCTCTTGGAAGCACGATGGCGTTATCCGAAAGGGTTTCGCCCCCTGCCGCCAGCCCCCTCTCTATCATGATGGGATATATCAGAGTCGCGTCGGTGCGTTTCGGCGCTGCATCTGCGCATCTGGGAGCATCATGCGGGGGCGGATAGGAATCACCTGCGCATATTGAATCGTTGGCGTTATCGAAGACACCTACGGCGAATCACCGCCGCCCCCTGCCCTTGGGGACGCGCCGATGTGGCCGACAGCTGGGCTAGAGCTTGGCCAAGCTTTCGGGCCAGTTGTTCCCCGAGTCGGTTTGGAAAGCCTTCGGGGAACGCGTGAGGGAGCAAGAGGTTTGAAATCGCCCATGTGTCCGAGCGCTGTGGCAAGAGCTCTGCCAAGCTATCGCGCCATGTGATCCCCCAACCGTTGTGGAAACCCTTCGGGGAACACTTGGGGGAGGATGGCGGGGAATATCAGGAGGAGGAGGAGGAGGAGGAGGAGGAGGAGGAGGAGGAGGAGGAGGAGGAGGAGGAGGAGGAGGAGGAGGAGGAGGAGGAGGAGGAGGAGGAGGAGGAGGAGGAGGGGGAGGAGGCAAACGTGTCAGCTACGCCAGCACTTGCGCCACTACCGCTGCTACCTCGGCTTTACGGCCATGCTTTTCACGTGGATCAAGCAGACCTACACCGGAAATATCGTCAAGCAGGAAACGTACAACGAGTACGGCATCTTCTCGCCCAGTACGAGGCCAGCTAGCGGGCTGGCTACAGGTACCGGTGAAGTCCCGCATCTACCCCGAGATCTACGGGTGCTGGTCTGCCGCGCAGGTCTCCGACGTCAAGGCCGCCCTATACCATCACTGTACATTCTACATCGGGTTCCGCATCGACATCTACAAGGCCACGGCTACACAAACGGAGGTCAAGATCGACAGGCGTGACGTCGGACTTCACGCCCCGCACTACGGCACCCTGGAGCCGATCCCACACGACTTCTGGGTGCCCAACGTTTGGTACTCGATCACGAAGCAGCCTGTGTACCCTACTGAGATAGCGGTACCGCTCGACGTCGTACCCCTGGCGACGCAGAGGGACATCATCGTCCAGACTACTACCGATATGACCGTCGCCGACCTGAAGTCCGCCATCGTCGACCGCTCATAGTTGGTCGGGGCCCCATCGAGCCTCGCTACCTCGCGCAGTTGAAGATCTACGACGGCTCCGGCAACAGGCTGCGTTGTCATGAACAAGTCCATTACAGCCTCATACACGCGCCTCGCCGAGACCTACGCGATGAAGTTCCAGACGATCGATGGTGAAGTACTCCCTGAGGGCCCTGCTGTCGACGAGGGCTTCCGCTGGAAGCTCAACCGCTACGTCGACCTTGACTGGGAGTACATCCGCCATCCAGAGCGCAAGGACCATTGCGAGGGCTGCGGCGACTACGAGCTGCGCGGCGTCTACTACAGCGCGCCCGCGGCCCCCTACGAGCAGATACCGCTGCTGGTCGAGGGCGTCGACTCGGCGGAGGCGGGGGCCGCGCGGGAGTACCAGACCCCGCGCTCGAAAAACTCTCCGAAACGCGCGGCCCTCCCGGAGCCACGCGCGAGAAGCGCCAGGGCGAGTAGCTGCCCAGCTACACGACGCTTGCCGTGCCACTGCCAAGCTACCGTGTGCCAGCACTACTTACCACGGACCGAACAGTGCATTGGCCATTATTATGATGAGTACCGTTGCCGCGTGCGTGATTAGG